CTTATTCTAGATATTTCATATAAATGGCATTATACAATATTTGTGCTGTTATGTGTAACTTATTTCACTCTGCATGTTTTCAAGGCTCACTAATATCATAGTATTATCAGAACTTCATTTCTCTTTATGGCTGAATAATATTCCACTGCATGTATATGCCACATTGTCTTCTCTCTCTGAGAGCACCATTAAATCTGGATGTTTCTGTTTAAATGGGCAGTGTCTCTTTGTGTTCCTTGCCTCCTACAGTGTTAAACATTTTTATTTCTAGGATAGAATATGTAGGAATTTCACTTAAAGTCCTTGGCTTTGCACATGTTGGCATATATCGGTATTAGGAGACAATTCTCCACGGGTACCTTACATTTCTGCAAGTTTTATGAGCAGAGACACTGCTCATTTGTTTCAGACTATTTTTTCAAGCTTCCTTAAGGAAAGAGATGATTGGAATGAAGACAAGGTCTCTCTAACCTTAAAAGAGACTAGAGGCTATATATACCCATCTGAATATGCGGGAGAACTTTGGAGGAGGAAGAAGTGACTCAATTTTTTATGACCAATTTGTTTTGTAGGGGGAGTCCCTGAACTCAGCTGATGGAGTCTGGGCAGGGTTCACAGTGTGGAAGGAAAATTAACATGACCTTGTGGGTGGAGCCCTTTGGGCCACCTTAGTCTACTAGTATTTATATTTGCATATATGGTAAGAATTAATGTTACATCCCTATACTTCCCATAAGTGCCAGAAGGGATAGTCCCAATTGGGAAGAGCCACATGAAGAAAATTTCTAGTACCTCTGGAGTCCAGCAAGTCTAATGGCTCCTTTGAACTAAAAATCTCTGTGACTGATGATTTTTTTTCTCATTGAAACCTCTGGCAAAGAGAGGATCCGTCTACCGGCAGGCACTCCTTGAGGATATGGACTCACTGTCTCCTGACGTGGCACAGCTGTTAGCTGGTTACATAGTTCTTATCAAAACTGAACAACTTGTATATTCAAGAACATAGCTGTCCTGGCCCCATTGACATTTTGAATTTTCATGAAATAGTGTCAGCTATCTATCTCTTTGGGGGGGATATTTTATCCCTTCACTCTGTCACCTGAAGCAATGCTTCTGACTCTATGGGGCACTTGATTATTAGAAGTTCCCTAAATGTCTGGACCTGGTTCACTGAGCTGAAACCCAGTGGTGTCCACTGGGGTGTTCTGCCTCAGCACCAGCTATGCAGAAATGAAAATGGTCACTCTACTCAGTGGGCAGAACTCAAGGCCATTAACATAGCTCTGGCCAATATTCCCCTTGATGAACCTTGTTATATTTTTACTGATGTTTGGACTGATGTCTAGCTGGTCCGTCACTTGGAAAACTACAGACTGGCAGATTAAAGACACTCCTCTTTGAGATGACTGCTGATTGAACCATCTTGGTTATTAATACAGATAACCACAATAAAGGCCGATTCTCTGATGAGACAGACTGAAATCAAGCCGCTAATTAAACCTGCACCATCCAGATTTCCACCACTGCTACCTATATCCATCACTGTACTGAACATGGTAACACAGTCACCAGCATAGACTGGGAAGAAAGTAAATAATTTTATGATTCTGAAGCAGAGATTTGTGACTCCTGCCAAAAGTTGACCCATTTGTCTCATTGTGCGGGGGTGGGGAGGATGTGGGGGGGTGGGGGGGGAGGCAAATTTCAAGGGGCATGACTCCTGATTGCCTCTGAAAGATTGAGTAATTGGACCTTCACTACCCCTTTGAGGGTCAACTACTGTTGACTCTTTTTCAGGTAATGGTATTGCTACTTCAGTCTGATCAGCTGACTCTGGTCACATCATTGGGGCCCTTGAAACTAATCTGTGTCACGCATTTGACTTTCCAGACCATTTCCAGCCTACAGATGTTGTACCTTTTATCACAAAAGTTACATAACAATGGGCTGATGGTCAAGGTATCCCAGGGACATTCCATACTCCCTGCCATCCACGCAGGTATCTGGTATTGTTGAGCACTGGAACTCAACAAGATTTCTGATCCTATTACCCTTACCTTATCCTGGCCCACACACCTTAAACATTATGGTCATTGAGTGAAGTTGCCCCCAGAAAAAGGATCATCCCTTTCAGTCACTTTCTGGGCAATGGTCAAGAAAAAAGGGGTGTGGGGTTACATATACATACTTCAAAAATTCAGAATTCTGCCCTGACCATTCCTGGGCATGTTGCTTCTTTCTTTATCCAGTGGTAACCCCAGGTTGGCCTGATTGGTACATCCTCTGGATGGCAGTCTGGCCAAAAGATGTCTATGAGAGCCAAAGTTAATTCTGGTTCTGTAAGTTTTATTTAAGAACTTGTCCTTTTATCTAACACTTCCAGATGAGAGATCTGGCTGAGAGTTCAAGATGACTGGAAAAAAGGTAAAGTTACAGCTACTGGAATGGGACAAACCAATTTTATGGTGGTGGAGGGAGTGCCACAATCCAGGCACCTGGGAAGAGAACACCTTAAACCCTGGCAGGAATAGGGGAGAAAGGGACATTAATTATCATCTGTCTTTCTGAACTGTTCCTGGAGTTTTCTTCATGAAGAAAAATGCCCTGGTGCAAAATCTCCAAAACTGTTGCATGCACACCTTAAATTTAACTGACTACTGAGTCTTCCATCTCCTATCAGATGGCTCTAACCACAAGTTAATTGCCATTCTCCTTAAACTTACTAAGAAGTCTATTGGAAACAGCAGAGGATGGCTCCAGTTCCTGAACCTTCCACACAAAACACTTATGAACACCTATAAATGACTTCCCCATCCTCACTCTTATATACATTGCTCTATCATTCCATGGGGGCAGATTAATGCCATTTGATTGTTGGCCTAGACAAACAGGACAAGTTGGATGGCTTGTCCTTAGGAAGTCCTTCCAAACACAAGGACTAGACTTAATAATTTGCATCGAGCTGGGAATCATACGGTCTACCAACCAGCCGGGAGGATATGTTTGAGGCATTGTTAACCTATGCCCTCTGAATGAAGTGGGTCCCATGTGGGAAGCACCAACAATTGTAAAAAACATTTTCTTTCTGGGGGCTTCAGGTGTGCCCTCAGGACTGTATTCTTGCATGAAATCCAGGCATTAATTTACCTCCCTTCAAAATACATTGACTTGCACCTTAGAGGTGGTGATAAGAGACCTTCACGCATTTAAGGAAACACCACCTATACTCTGGAAGGCATTCAGAAAGTCATTCAGGTCAGAATCTCTTTAGGAAGATAGAACTTCCCTGGACTTCCTCTTCACAGGAAAAGGAATCATTAATATATCCTGTTGCACCTGGATTAATGCCTCAGGTCAAGTGAAAAAGTCAATACAGAAATGCAAGGAGAAAGCCACTCAGATTTTGAAAGTAGACCCAAATGGTTTATAGGATTTTTTCAGCTGGCTGAATCTGGGACCCAGGAAGGGGGGGATGGTTGAGGTCAAATATTTCAGGTTAGCTTCATCCTGCTGCTTGGAGTCCTATTGATAAACCAGAAAACCAAACCCATTGCCGTTGGGTCAATTTCAACTCATAGCAACCCTACAGGATGGCGTAGAACTGCCCCATAGGGTTTCCAAGGAGCAGCTGGTAAATTCGAACTACGGACCTTTTGGTTAGCAGTCTTGAGCTCTTAACCACTGTACCACCAGGGCCCCCCTATTGATGGTAGTCTTAATTAAATACTGTACAAGAAAAATTAAATGAATTTAGTCCCAGTCTCTGTCAGTTAATAGGGACACTATGAGTCGGAATCGACTGGACGGCAATGGTTTTTTTTTTCTGTCAGTCAGATTAATACAAAGTGGTCAATGGAGTGGCATACTCACGGGGAAATTCACCAGAAGCCAAGATGGTGTAGAAATGAGGGTGGATATTGTTCGGAGACAATTCTTTCTGGATCGCTTGAATTTCTGCAAGACTTGCAAGCAGTAGAACCAACTGCCCTTTTATTCCAGACTAGTTTTGCAAGGATGACTGTAGAGAAAACAGCCTTTGAAGAGAGATGGTATCACCACTGGACCAGAGGGAAGTATAATACGATAATGTTTCCTTCCAGAGCAAAGGTCTGGCAGGTTTGTTTACTGCCCATTATAAAAGATTTTGGTTCCATAAACTGAGGGTTCTTCTCCTATAACACAATCCACTGAAGATACATAAATCGCCTGACTCTCCTTGTGTTGCTCTGTGAGAATTAGAGCTCAGGGAAATGGCACAAATTATGATAATCTGACCAGTGCTATTGCCATGGGTAATAAAGTCCCTTTGTCTTTGACCCATGATTCCCATGTCTTCTGCCAGCATCTATGAAACTGTGACAGGTTAACTTGTTAACTTACAAGTAGGGTAAAATCTCGGACTCTTCTCAGTTCTTGACAATAGGCCGCTCACTTTAATTTCCAAATAAGATGGCAAACTTTCTTCTTTGGGGGAATATATTTGTGGATTCCATATTCACAAATTCATCTATTCGCTAAAAGCATTTGTGGTACTTTTACCATCATTTGCAGTCATGTGCATGCACAGAGTGGCAAAAAATTTCCTGCTGAGGTCTAAGGTTGAACACAACTGGTTCAGTTAGTACTCACTAATTCAATGTTTGAGGGAGAAGGGCTTTATAAAGTCCCTGCGTAGCACAGTTTGTGCTCGACTACTAACCTAAAGGCTGGCAGTTCAAACCCACCCAGTGGCACCAAGGAAGGAAGGCCTGGTGATCTGCTTCCATAAAGAAAATCCTATGGAGCAGTTCTACTCTGTAACACATGGGGTCACCAAGAGTCAGAATAAACTCAATGATAATGAGTTTGGTTTTATTTTTATAGAACATAACTACCACAAATAAAGAGAGTCAAACACACACACACACACAAAGATACACACACAGAGAGAAATGTCCCTCAATGTATCCAGGTGTAAGCATCAGTCTAAGAAAGTAAGGGTCACTGGTTGGAACTGAATCTCATAGCAGCTTTATTTCGTGGTCTTCTTCCATTTTATCGATGTTAGCAAAGGTGAGGAAGATTTGTTCCAATGTTATCTGACTGACTGAATAGTCTTCTAAATTGAATAGCAATTTAGCATCCTCCAAAATACTAAACACCTTTAACAGGAAAAAATGGTGGAATTACCATTGCAATCCCCCTAGATGAACCCTTTTCCCATCCCACCATCCCCCAACTTCTTCTAGGTTTAGGCTTAGGGACAAAAAAATACAAAAGGAGGAAGTGAGAAAGTAGAAGGAAAAGATGAATAAAAACACAGAGAAGGCAGTTCTCCAACCTCATTCTCTTGATGGGCATGGGGTATTAGTATAATTCAGGGGCAGAAGTCTCAATCAATTAAACTACAGGGGCCTTTGAAAAGCAACCTAAAAGTTTTGCTCCTCCCCTAATGTTAGGTTTCCATTCCATATGCTTGAATCCCAGTGCTTTCTATCCATCCTCTATTAACATATAATGTTAGAAGGGTATGATTTCATAATTACCTTTCCCCAGCAAATGTCCTTTTTGGGAATGTAGTAGTGAATAATCCCTTGATGTTCCTGGTTTATGATGTTACCTAAGAAAGGAAAAATATGCAGATGAGTAATGGAGAGGGCTCCAGTACTTGACAGAGTTTTAAAAAATACCTAAGTAATTCCTATTCCAATTATCCACACTAATGGAAGACAGAATATATGTAGCTCATACAGAAGATAACATAATCCAAAAGCCCATTCTCTTTGGTATACATGACCTTACTAATTATTTCAACAGATTCACTTCCTACTGAAATATGGTCTTAATGCCTGCAGTTCGTAAAAATTGCAGAGTGGAGGCTAATCAGTTTTAGGCATGGAAAAAACTGATAGCTCACATGCTCACTTTGCAAAACCTGAGACTTACAAAAAACCTAATACTCTATAGGACTCCACTCCTAAACTTTGTCCTGAGCCTATGCTCATAATATTTGGGTGTGGTTTCTTTTTCCAGTCATACTGTGTGTGTGTGTGTGTGTGTGTGTGTGTGTGTGTGTGTAAGGGACAGCAGTCAACTACTCTCATGAGTAAGCAACTGTCACCTTCAATGAAAGACAAAATTCATATGTAAGACACAAATGTCAGACAAGTGTGTTCCTGTTAAAGAGAAGGCATTCACTAGAGGAATGAGATGGTACAATCTGAAAATATAGTAGCAATTTTTTTTTTTTGCATTTGCCATTCAGTCAGTTACAACTCAGAGCAACCCCATGTGTGTCAGAGTCGAACTGTGCTCCATAGGGTTTTCGATGGCTGATTTTTCAGAAGTAGATTGCCAGGACTTTCTTTTAAGGAGTCTCTGAGCGGACTCAAACCGCCAACCTTTCAGTTAGCAGCTGAGCGCATTAACCATTTGCACCACCCAGGGACTTACTTACAAAAGGAAGACACTATTACTGACATATAGTTTGTTTCTTTAAAATATTTTAACCTAAGTAATTCCATTTGCAATAATCTCCAAGTCTGTAATAATAAATGTAAATGCATCCTATAAATTAGAAATGGTTACAATATTGTTATTGTTGTATTGTAGCCATTCCTAATTAATAAGATGTATTTACATTTATAATGACACACTTGGAATTATTGCAAATGGAATTAATTGGGATTAAGATATTGTAAAGAAATAAACTGTATGTCAATAATAATTATTTCCTTTTGTAATGAGTCCATACCTAGTCTCCATGATTAATTTAAAAAATCAAAACCTTTATTGTGAAACATATCAAACATAAAAAATATGTACAAAACATAAATGTACACATGTACAAATAAAACACACATGTAACTGACACCCAGCACCGCAGAAGTCACCCATAGGCCACTACCTAGTCTGATTTACTTTCTCACCTCTAAAAACAAACATTTCCTGATTTTTATGGTAAGCTTTTGTTTGTTATTCTTTAAAGTTTTATTACCCAAGTCTGCAGCCCTAAATATTATAGTTTGGTTTTGTCTTTTTTTGTTACTTTATATGAATACAACCATACATCATTTTAATCTGGCTTCTTTCAGTCACTATTATATTTTTAACATTCATCCATGTTGTTGTGTATACATATCTTTATTCATTTTCACTACTGTAATGTTTTCAGTGTATAAATACATCTCTATTGTTGGTGGATATATGGTGTTGGCCCCAAATTAGCCTTATCTCCTGGTAGTCACGTCCTTGTATAGTCCCCTCCCAATTAATAGTGCCAACCTATGTAACCAGTAGGTTATTGCAGAAATAATACAGCATTATTTCTGAGGCTAGTTAATAAAAGACATTGTGGTTTCCACCTTGCTGTCTCTAGGATCATTTGCTCTGGGAGAAGTCAGCCACCATGTTGTGAAGACACTCAAGAAGCCCTATGGAGAAGTCCACGTGTGAGGAAATGTCAATGTGAGTAAGCCGTCTTGGAAGCAGATCCTCCAGCTTCAGTCATTCTTCAGATGACTGCATACCAAGCCAACAGCTTTACTGCAACCTCATGAGGGACCTAATCCAGAACTACGCAGCTAAGCTGCTCCTAAATTCCTAACCCATAGAAACTTTGAGAAAATAAGTGTTTATTGTTGTTTTAAGTCACTAAGCTTTTGGGTAATTTGTTATGCAGCAATCTATAAGTTACATGGTTTCCAGCTTGTGGCTATTACATATTAGGTTGTTCTAAACATTCTCTACCTACTTCCTGGTGCTTATGTGCAATCATTTTTCCTAGGAGTGAAAATACTGGGGCAGATGTTTGAGCATCTTTAACATTAGTAGATAATGCCAAAAAATTTCAAGTATATTACATTCCTACCAGACATACAGGAGAGTGCTCATTTATCCACATCTTTCAGAGGCCTGGTGGTGCAGTGGTTAAGAGTTACAGCTGCTAAACAAAAGGTTGTTACTTTGAATCCACCACCTGCTCCCTGGAAACCCTATGGGGCAGTTCTGCTCTGTCTACAGGGTCTCTAAGAGTTGGAATTGACTCCGCGGCAATGGGTTATACCAATTCTTGGTACGGTCAATCTTTTTAATTTTAGCTATTCGAAGACTGATTTGTTTGTTCTTCTAGAAGTCCATGGAATATTCAATATACTTCATCAACAAATCTTTTCTTTTCCTTTTTCATTGTCTAGCTTTTGCATGCATATGAGGCTATTGAAAAGACCATGGCTTGGGTCAGGCACACTTTAGTTAAAGTGACATCTTTGCTTTTTAAAACTTAAAAAAAAAGGTCTTTTGTAGCAGATTTGCCTAATGTAATACGTTGCTGATTTCTTGACTGCTGCTTCCATGGATGTTGACTGTTGATCCAAGTAGAATGAAATCATTGACAACTTCAATTGCTTCTTCACTTATCACGATGTTTATTGGTTTAGTTATGAGTATTTTTGTTTTCTTCATGTTCAGGCATAATCCATACTGAAGGTTGTAGTCTTTGACCTTCATTAGTAGGGGCTTCAAATCGTCTTCATTTTTGTCAAGCAAGGTTGTGTCACCTGCGTATGACAGGTTGTTAATGAGTCTTCCTCCAATCCTGATGCCATGTTCTTTATAACCCAGCTTCGTGGATTATCTGTTCGGCATACAGACTGAGTAAGTAAGGTGAAAGGATTCAACCCAGCCATACACCTTTTCTAATTTGGAACCACACAGTATCCCCTTGGTCTGCTCAAATGACTGCCTCTCAGTCTGTATACAGGTTCTGCACAAGCACAGTTAAGTGTTTTGAAATTACCATTCTTTGTAATTTTATCTATAATTTGTTATAAATTGGTCAAATGCCTTCATGTAGTTGATAAAACACAGGTAAACATCTTTCTGGTATTTTCTGCTTTTGGCTAATATCCATCTGACATCAGCAATCATATCTCATTCCATGTCTACTTCTGAATCCATCTTGAACTTCTGGCAGTTTCTTGCCAATGTATGGCTGCAGTCATTCTAGAATTTTCTTGAGCAAAAATTTGCTATCATGTGATATTACTAATATTTTTTGATAATTTCTGCATTCTGTTTGATCACCTTTCTTTGGAATGGGCATGAATATAGAACTTTTCCAAGGGGTTGGCCAGGTAGCCAGCTTCCAAATTTTCTCAATATAGATGAGTAAGTGCTTCCAGTGTTCCATTCATTTGTTGAAGCACCTCACTATGCACCTCCAGCACATCAACTCCTGGAGACTTGTGTTTTGCCAATGCCTACAGTGCAGCTTGAGGTTCTTTCTTCAGTACCAGTAGTTCTTGATCATATGCTACTTCCCAAAATGACTGAATATCAACTAATTCTTTTTGGTACAGTGACTGTGTATTCCTTCCATCTTTTTAATTTAATTTTTTTTTGGTGAAAATATACACTGCAAAACATACACCAATTCAACAATTTCTACATGTACAATTCAGTGACATTGATTACATCTTTCCATCTTCTTTTGAAAATGCATCATTCAATTTTTTGCCTATCATTTTGATAGATACATAAAAATTAACAGATAAAATCCAACATCCATTAATCATTAAGGTTCTCAGTAAACTAGGAAAAGAAGGAAACTTCCTTGATCTACCTTGCTCATTTTTGAAGGCCTCTTTTACTTCATACAAAGTTATTTTACTGCTTTCAAGATTTTTTTCTTGTCTTTGGCTTTCAGTATTTTTACTATGATGTATCTCTGTGTAGATTTCTTCACATTTGTCCTACTTGGAGTTTGCTAAGCTTCTTAAATGTGTAGGTTAATTTTTTTCATAAATTTGGGAAGTTTTCCAAATATATTTTTTGCTCCTTTATCTCTCTCCTCTCCTTCTACCACTCTCTCTCTATAAACATACACTTAATGGTGCCCCACATTTCTCTGAGCCTCTGTTCATTTTTCTTCATTTTTGGTCTCTGTTCCTTGGATCACATTATCTCTACTGATGTATCTTCAAGTTTGCTAACTATTTCTCTGCCAGGTCAAATCTACTCGAGTCCCTTTTGTGAACTTTAGTTACTGTACTTTTGCACTCCAGAATTTTCATTTGGTTTTTTTTAAAAAAATATATAATTTCTGTCTCTTTACCGATATTTCTCTACCTCTTGAAATATTGTTGTAATGCCTTATTTTAATTCTTTAAACATGGTTTACTCAATCCACTGAACATATTTATAATGGCTACTTTGAAGTCTTTGTTAAATCTGACATCTGATTACACTCACAGGGAGTTTCCATTGCTTGCCTTTCCCCCTGTGTATGGGTCATACTTTCCTGTTTTGTTGAAAACTCTGAGTACTGGTCTCCACCTCTGGTACTTGTTATTGTCGTTTGCTTGCTTATTTTTTTAGTGACTGGCTGGATTATTTTAGTGGAATCTGTTTTCCCTCTCCCATTGCAGTGTGAATCCTCTGCTGTTGCTTCGCATTGTGAGAGGGAGCCCTGTGTTCTTGGCTTTATGTCCTTGGAGTGGAGTTTTTATCACACTGGGCTGGGAGGGTGAGAAAGGGAATGGGTTGTGATTCAAATGCCACAGAATCTCATTGTTCTTACAAAGTTTTAGTAGATTTTGTTGCATAAATGTTTCTTCATTTGCTATATGCTCTTAGGACCATTCTTAGAGATTTTAAATGGTTTTTTTCCCCCAAAATAATTCACCAGTTTCACAGAGCTCTTCACATTGCTATTCTAAAAGTGGGACTCCCAAAGTCATTTTCTATCCATACTGTTATTTTAAATATCTGAAGTCTTTGGAGTTTGAAATTGTTGTTTGCATCTATGCTTAATCTCCTTCATTGTGCCTTGTCTCTATGATTGTTGGCTTTTGATTATAATCTTACAATGTGTGATTTTAATCTGCAGAAATCTTAAGGGCCTAAGCTGGAGATGCTTTCCTTCTATGCTTGCTTCAGTTCAATGTAAATGGATACTACCAATCTGGGACTTAAAACATTTGTTCATTTTTTAAGATTATTGATTAATATGGGAATTTCAGGTTAAGCTATCTAATTGCAATGAGTTCAAAGTTCGTATTTCATCTTAGTACTGGTATTGGAATTTGCTTCAGGGTAAGCCAGCTTTTGCATTTCATTATTGCTCACTACTAGGCTTTAGGTTGATAATTTTTTCTTTTCTGTTTTGGTTCTTTGAATTTTATCTCACCATTTTTCTGAGTACTAGCAAGTCATTAAAAAGTCATTTTGCTTTAAGCTTTCCAGTATGTATATATTTTATTTTAACAGCAAGACCTACCAGATATATAATCTGCCATGCTGTGGAAACAGAAACTCTCTTCTTTGCGGTCTTTTAAAAAGGGTGCACTCTCTTAAATTGAGATTAGATAAAGTATTTGCCTAAAATTATCCTCTGATTTCATAGACTTAATCTTCAATTGAAGTGTATATTTAAGTTGTCTTCTACTTTCTATATTTCTTTCTTTCCTCCTTTTTTTGGATAATATTTATATATAGGTCCAATGCTAGTTTTTTTTTTTTTTTTTTAAATTCTGCTATCTTTAAATGGGTAAGTTGTATTTGAAACAGCTCAAGGATAGTGTGGGGAAAGATTGGTAAACAGTCAACCTTATATTTAGATATATTGTATCACAGCATAGTTCACAAGCAAACTACTGTGTTCACCTCTATCAGGAAGAGTCTGTTCTCAGTTTTTTTGTGTCCTCTCTCCTGTTCAGGTTGACCAGGATATTGGGCTGGCTCACAGTATATGTAGTTCTCCATATGGTTAATTCAGGATCTTCAACACTACATACAATAAGTACTCCAGAAGTATTATTAAATGGATGAATGACTAAATATTTAACTGCTTAATGGACATATCCATCTGCATATCTCATAAAAAAAGAAAAAAAAAAACCCGTTCCCTTCAAGTCAATTCTGACTCATAGTGACCCTATAGGACAGAGTAGAACTGCCCCCATAGGGTTTCCAAGGTGTGGCTAGTGGATTCGAACTGCTGACCTTTTGGTTAGCAGCCGAGCTCTTAACCACTGTGCCACCAGGGCTCCATATATCTCACAGATACCTCAAAATTAATATGAGTAATACTGAATTAATTGTCTTTCCCATGTAAAGGTTCCTCCTCTTGAATTTCCCATTTTGATAAATATCCATTTGCTATCATCTCCTCCTCTCCATTCCTACTGTCACTTCTTTAGTACAGGACAATATAATTTATTGTTTCACTGCTATAGCCTCCATGATTTCAATTTTGCACTCTGAAAATATGGCCGCCACACAGTTGATGGAGTTCAAGATGGAGACGAAGTAAGGCAAAATTCTTAAATGATCTGACATTTCTCTATTTAAAGATTAAGATAAAGGAGTGGGTACAGAAAGAAATAAAAGCTGGCTATAAACGGCTGAGTTATTGTGCCATGTGCACAGAGAGTAGGTCACTGAAGTTAGTATGCGGAAGCAGAATGATTGATTTTTATGTGTTACATCTCCAGATTATTTCCTTGAAAGTAGAAAAGGGAGCTTACTGTTCTTATTTGCATTTCATAAGCATTGCCTAGATGAGGTATTATCAAAAGGCAGAGGATACATGCTCAAAAAGATGGGAAACCTTAAAAAAAATCAAAGATAAATAGTAGAGACTTATACTCAATAATTTAACTTCAGATGAATACATATAAACAGTTTTATCTTACTGGTTGATTCCTACAAGAGATTGGCAGAGCCTCTGATATTTTGTGAAAGTTTCTTAGCATAGTCAGGGATAAGATGTTCACAGAAAAAATTACCAAAAGAAACTCTGTATAAAAGGATAACAAACATCAAAAACTCACAAGACAATGTTAGTTATTGAGAACATGCAGCAGAACAACAACGATGATTCAACACAATTTTCACAAGTCAGCCCTACCTATATTACCTGGGAAAGTTCTTGCAATAAATTCTTTGAACTCCTTTAGTTTATTTTTTTCCGTGTCCATATTAACCTTGGCTTTTAAGGCATATACATTACAAAACTTGTTCTTGAGGTGCTGAGGGCTGCCTAGGCATGTGAACCTCCCTTTTACCATGATGGCCAGCCTGGTACAGAGGGCCTCGCATTCCTCCACGCTAGGAAGACAAAGGAGTTATGGCTTGAGAGACTTTATTTTAGACGGCAAATTCTATAGTTCAAGTAAAACCAGGATTATAAGGTAACCTTTGCAATGGGAAGGCCTGGTTTTGTAGATGATCAACACTAAGGTCATATTAGAAAGAGGAGATGTTAAAATTCAAAGCAGCTGATGTTTAAATCCACAGTAAAAACAGCTCCCTGACTTCTATCTTCTCTTAAAACTCCTTGGCAGAATCAGGAGACCCCTTGTTGCAGAATCAGTCTCTACCAATAGTACCTCCTGAGTAGTTCATAAACTTAGGCAAGCTCATTGAATCATATTCCCAGCTCTATCAATTCCCTCTTCTACCCACTGCAACCCATTATAACTCCCAACCAAGCCATACCTGTGAGAACTTATTATGATAGCTTTGCCAGTTTTACAGATCTGTGTAACTGTGTCCCTGATCAGGTTCTGGGCTACTGGGTCCATGCCAGTAGATGGTTGATCCAGGAAGATAACTGAGGGCCTTCCCATTAGTGCAACAGCAGTACTCAGTCTACGTTTGTATCCTCCACTTTATGGCCAAAGAAAGAAAAAGAGGAAGAAAGTGGGAGAAGAAGTTAAGTGTCACATGTCATTAATTAACAGGAAAGAATTAGTTCAGATATCCAGAATGTTGATTTGATACGACTAAAAAAGCATCAGGCCCAAGTCCTGGTGTGTGTGTGTGTGCATGTGCGTGCACGCGCACGTGTATTTTTATCCCAATTCGTTTTCAATGAGATGACTTTTTTGTAATTTATTTCAGTATTATTATTTGGGACATGTTTTTGTTCTTCAGAGATGAAGAAATATATGGAGACAGAGATGAAGGGTTTTTTTTTTTTTTTTTGACATGCAAAGGCTATATAGCTTATATCTGCAAAAGGTTGAGTCATACCACCGGGATCTGCCTTATTCCTGACATACAAACCCTGGAAGGGCACTAGGTTATTTTACAGTCATTGTTTCTGTGTGACAGAGGGGCTCAGGTGGAATTTGCAGGCATTCGTTCCAAAAAGCAGAAACACAGCAGAAAGCTTAATGATTACAGCAGCATAATTTCTCACCTGTATGTGTAGATAAGCTTGTCAGCATGGGTTTCCAGGTGCATTGAATGCAAAAAGGCTTCCACATACTCATAAATGTCTGGCTCAGGGACCCCCCACAGCCTGGCGTACATACTTAGCAATTCCCGACCCGTCATGTAGTTCAGCATGGCATCAGATTGAGGACAATAGCTAATTCTTGACCTAATCTGAATTAAAAGGGTAATCATAAGCAATAGATCCAAGTCAACTACTTCATTAAGCATATAGTCTACATGGATGAGATAGAAGTTCTCCAGCCCAGGCCACTAAGAATGTTTGATACCCATAAAGTTCCCACCAAGACTTTCTTCTCTTCCAGTCTACAGAATTTTTGCAAGTGGAGCCCATTGTAGTAAAATGGAATAATAATACCCTTAACTGGACTTTACAACACGTATTCATTGTGCACTATTATGTGCCCTAGATTGCTTTTTGTTAGATAAAGTGGCCTACCCAAGAACCATTAGGAAAGAGCCAATCTATGGAATCAATTAAAATAATATATAAAATTACACTTCTGGTAATAGCTAAGTAGCTTCTATTGGACCATTAACCCTCCCATGAATAACAATTATAACCCCCCCTCCTCTGTCTCTCTTTCTGTATATACTTTATCCAATGAAGGCTAAAAGAACTAAATTGATACCTCATAGAGCACATAGAGTTTATAGTATGAGTCTAGTTATCTTAAATGGCTGTTAAAAGCATTTAAAAATCTTTCAAGGAATGTAATAGAATCCAAACTTTCTAAAATGTATTATTCACAATGTCCAGTATACAATATAAAATTGACAAATTAAGAAATATGGAAACATTACCCATGTTCCACAGAAAAGACAATCAATGAACACTGATCCCAAAATGCCCAAGCTATTGGAATGAACAGAAAATAATTTTTAAAAAACTTGTAACTATGCTCAAGAAATTAATAGAAACATTTCTGCAATAAAAAGGATAGGAAATCTCAGTAGAGAAATACAAAAAGAACCAAATGGAAATTTTAGAGCTGAAAATTACAATATTTGAAATAAATATTCACTGGATGGGCTTAACAGCAGATTGGAGATGCGAGAAGAAATATCCAGAAAACTTGCAGAACAATAAAAATTATCTAATCTAAAATATAGAAACAAAAATGAAGAGAGTCACAGGGATCTGTATGTAATGCAAGATCAAAAGGTTTAAAATATATGAGAATGAACTCCTGGAAGCAATGCAGAACAAGAACTTAAGAATGTAAAAATTTGCCAAACGTTTTCCTACATTTGGTGAAAAACTTAAAGATTTACAAAGCTCATTGAATCCCAGGAGGATAACAATGAAGAAAATCATGCTTAAAAACACCGTAGTCAAACGGCTGAGAACCAAAGAAAAAGAAAAAATGTTGACTGTATCTAGAGAGAAACAACACATTATATACAGGAGGAAAACAATAAATGTCTGCTGACTTCTAATTAGAAACTATGAAGGCTGGAAGACAGTGGAACATCCTTAAAGTATACAATTTTATATCCAGCAAAAATATCCATTAAGGGTCAACGCAGTTTCATTTTAATTGCCCCAGACTGGAAACAACCCAAATATCCGCTAACAGGTGAACGGCTAAACAACTGTGGTATATCCATACAATGGAATACAACTCAGCAATACAAAGGAGTAACTACTGATACACACAACAACATGGACAGATCTCTAATTATGCTTACTGAAAGGAGTCAGATAAAGAGTGTCCGTTATAGAATTCAGATACATGAAGCTCTCTAAAATGCAAATTAATCTATAGTGGCAGAAAGGACATCAGTGGTAGCCTGAGGAGGAAGAGCAACAGGGAGGGATTACAAAGGGACACAGAAACTGTTGGGAGTGTGGGATACACTCACTGTCTTGATTATGATGATGGTTTCAGAGATGTGTACGTATACGTGCATATATGTCAAAAGTTGTACAATTTAAACATGTGCAGTCTATTGTATATCAATTATACCTTAACAAAACTGTTAACCAAAAATGAGGGTGAAATAAAAACTTTTTTAGAAAACAAAATCTGAGGATCATTACTACCAGCACACCTTTGTTGAAGGAAATCCTACAGGGTATACTCTTCAAGAATAAGAAAACTGATCCAAGACAAAAAGCTTGTGTCTTAGTTATCTAGTGCTGCTATAACAGAAATACCACAAGTGGATGGCTTTAACAAAGAGAAATTTATTTTCTCACAGTAAAGTAGGCTACAAGTCCAAATTCAGGGCATCAGTTCCAGGGGAAGCTTTTCTCTCTCTGTTGGCTCGGGAGGAAGGTCATTCTCATCAATCTTCCCCTGGACTAGGAGCTTCTCAGCACAGGGACCCCAGGTCCAAAGGACGTGCTCTGCTCCCAGCCCTGCTTTCTTGGTAGTATGAGGTCCCCCTGTCTCTCTGCTCGCTTCTCTCTTTTATATCCAAAAGAAACCAGCTCAAGACACAATCCAATATCGTAGAGTGAGTTCTGTCTCATCAACACAACTGACACCCATCCCCCCTCATTAACATCACAGAGGCAAGATTTACAACACATAGGAAAATCACATCAGATGACAAAATGGTGGACAATCACACAATACTGGGAATCATGGCCCAGTCAAATTGAATCACATATTTTGGGGGGACACAATTCAATCCATGACAGCTTGGAATGCAAATAAGGAAAGAGAAGGAAAAAATAAGTGGTAAACATATGGGTAAATGTCAATATATACTGGCTCTATAAAGTAATAATAATCTCAGTGAGAATTTTAAAACAAAATTACAGTACATGACAATGATCACATATAAGTTGAAATGGCAGTAAATGAAGTTAAAACGTTCAAATTTGTATTATCAACAACATAAACAGCAACTATACGTGTGGACCTCGCCAGATGAAATACACAGGAATCAAATCAACTACATCTGTGGAAAGAGACGATGGAAAACCTCAATATCATCAGTCAGAACAAGGCTAGGGGCCGACTGTGGAACAGACCATCAATTGCTCATATGCAAGTTCAAGTTGAAGAAAATTAGAACAAGTTCACAAGAGCCAAAGTACAACCTCGAGTATATCCCACCTGAATTTAGACATCATCTCAATAATAGATTTGACACATTGAACACTACGAGTTGTGGAATGACATCAAGGACATCATACATGCAGAAAGCAAGAGGTCATTAAAAAGACAGGAAAGAAAAGACAAAAATGGATGTCAGAAGAGACTCTGAAACTTGCTCTTGAATGTAGAGCAGCTAAAGCAAAAGAAAGAAATAATGAAGTAAAAAGAGCTGAACAGAAGGTTTCAAAGGGCAGCTTGAGAAGACAAAGTAAAATATTATATGAAATATGCAAAGACCTGGGGATAGAAAACCAAAAGGGAAGAACACACTCAGTATTTCTCAAGTTGAAAGAATTGAAGAAAAACTTCAAGCCTCATGTTGCAATACTGAAAGATTCTATGGGAAAATACTAAACGATGCAGGAAACATCAAAAGAAGATGGAAGGGATACACAGAGTCACTGCACCAAAAAGAACTGGTCGACATCCAACCATTTCAGGAGGTAGCACATGATCAAGAACGAACCGTACTGAAGGAAGAGGTCCAAGCTGCACTGAAAGCATTGGTGATAAACAAGGCTCCAAGAATTGATGGAAAACCAACTGAGATGTTTCAACAATCAGATGCAGCGCTAGAAGTGCTCACTTGTTTACGCCAAGAAATTTGGAAGACAGCTACCTGGCCAACTGACTGGAAGAGATCCATATCTGTCACCATTCCAAAGAGAGATGATCCAACAGAATGCAGAAATTATTGAACAATATCATTACTATCATTCAAAAGTGGTTTCAGCAGCACATCGACAGGGAACTGCCAGAAATTCAAGCCAGATGCAGAAGAAGGCGTGGAATGAGGGATATCATTGCTGATGTCAGATGGATCCTGGGTGAAAGCAGAGAATACCAGAAAGATGTTTACCTGTGTTTTATTCACTATGCAAAGGCATTCAACTATGTGGATCATAACAAATTATGGATAATAGTAAGAAAAATGAGAATTTCAGAACACTTAATTGTGTTCATGAGGAACCTGTACACAGACCAAGAGGTTGTCATTCGAACAGAACAAGGGGATACTGTCTGGTTTAAAGTCAGGAAAGGTGTATGTCAGGGTTGTATTCTTTCACCATACTTATTCAATCTGTATGCTGGGCAAATAATCCAAGAAGCTGAACTATATGAAGAAAAACATGGCATCAGGATTGGAGGAAGACTTGTTAACAACCTGCGATATGCAGATAACACAACCTTGCTTGCTGAAAGTGACGATAACTTGAAGTACTCACTGATGAAGACTAAAGACTACAACCTCCAGTAAGGATTACACCTCAACATAAAGAAAACAAAAATCCTCACAACCAGACCAATAAGCAACATCATGGTAAACAGAGAAAATATTGAAGTTTTAAGGATTTCATTTTATCTGGATCCACAATCAACACCCATGGAAGCAGCAGTCAAGAAATCAAAAGACACATTGCATTGGGCAAATCTGCTGCAAAAGACCTCTTTAAAGCGTTGAAAAGCAAAGATGTCCCCTTGAAGACTAAGGTATGCCTGACCCAAGCCATGGTGTTTTCAATCGTTTCATATGCCTGGGAAAGCTGGACAATGAATAAGGAAGACCAAAGAAGAGTTGCTGCCTTTGACTTCTGGTGTTGGCAACGAACATTGAATATACCATGGACTACCAGAAGAACAAATCTGTCTTGGAAGAAGTACAGCCAGAATGCTCATTAGAAGTAAGGATGGTGAGACTTCATCTTACATACTTTGGACATGTTATCAGGAAGGACCAGTCCCTGGAGAAGGACACCATGCTTGGTAGACTAGAGGGTCAGTGAAAAAGAGGAAGACCCTCAATGAGATGGACTGACACAGTGGCTGCAACAATGGGCTCAAGCATAACAATGATT